GAAGCCTTCAGGATGCCGCCTCGGCCGCGCGCGCGCCCCGTCGGGCAGCCGACCCACCCCGGTCGGGCTCGCGATCGGATAGGCGATCCGGGGTCGAAGCGGGGGGTTTGGACGCCCGAAATGGGTACGGAAAAAATGGCACAATGCCCAACAACACATGTTGTCCCAAACCAACAGCGGCCGCCGTTGGGCAGGCGGCCTTCTGTCTCGAATGGACACAGGCCGCGGCGGCGTGCACAGCGAATCCTGTTCACAATGAACGGGAACTGCTGTTGGGCATCGTAACCATTCTTTCCGTACCAATTTCGGGCGTCCAGAGGGGGGGGGCTGTCGGACCAATCTCTCTCCCCGGCCCTTTCTCCTGCCCCTGGCCCTCCCCCCCGCCTCACCCGGTCCCCCCCGCCCAAATCAGCCCCCCGCCTTCTCCAACTCCTTCTCATCCTCCCCTCCCCCTTCTTTCCTCCTCCTCCTCCTCCTCCTCCTCCTCCTCCTCCTCCTCCTCCGCATCATCATCATCATCATCATCATCATCATCATCATCATCATCATCATCATCATCATCATCATCATCATCATCATCATCATCATCATCATCATCATCATCATCATCATCATCATCCTCATCATCATCATCATCATCATCATCATCATTCATCATCATCATCATCATCATCATCATCATCATCATCATCATCATCATCATCATCATCATCATCATCATCATGATCAGCATCATCATCATCATCAGCATCATCATCAGCATCATCAGCAGAATATGCATCATCATCGTCATCATCATCATCATCATCATCATCATCATCATAATTGTCATCATCATCATCAGCATCATCATCACCATGATCATCAGCAGCATCATCATCATCATCATCATCGGCATCATCAGCATCATCATCAGTATCATCATGAGCAGCATCAGCATCCTCATCATCATCATTATCATCATCATCATCATCAGCAGCATCATCATCATCGTCATCATCAGCGTCATCACATCATCATCATCCTCATCGTCATCATCGGCATCATCATCATCAGCATCATAATCATCATCGTCAGCATCATCATCATCATCACCACCACCAGCATCATCACAATCATCATCTCACCACCACCACCAACAACATCATCATCATCATCATTATCATCACAATCACTATCAGCAGCAGCATCATAATCATCATCATCATAATCATCATCAGCAGCATCAACATCATCATCACCAGCGTCATCATATACATCATCATCAGCAGCAGCAGCATCAGCAGCATCATCATCATCAGCATCATCAGCATCATCAGTTTCATCTCCATCATCATCATCATCATCACCATCATCATCATCATCATCAGCATCATCAGCATCATCAGCATCATCAGCATCATCAATCATACCCGCTTCCTCCGTCTCCTCCCGCCAACCATTCCTCGTGCTGCTCCGCCTTCTCATGCTACGCTTCCTCCAGCCTGCATTCTCCCCCTCCGCCGTTCTTGCCCCTCCTTCCTCTGTGCCACCTCGTCCGCCTCGCCTTCCTGCGCCTCCCCCTTCTCCTCGTCCTCCTCCATCCCCTTCCTCCTCCTCCTCCTCCTCCTCCGCCTCCTCCGCCTCCGCCTCCGCCTCCGCCTCCGCCTTCCCCCCCTCCTCCTCCTCCTCCTCCTCTCTCCTCCTCCTCCTCCTCCTCTCCTCCTCCTCCTCTCTCTACTCCTCCTCCTCCTCACTCCTCCTCCTCCTCCTCCTCCTCCTCCTCCTCGCCTCCTCCTTCCTCCTTCCCTTCTCCTCATCCTCCCCCTCCTCCTCCTCCTCCTCCTCCTCCTCCTCGCTCCTCCTCCTCCCCCTCCCCTCCTCCTCATCCTCCTCCTCCTCCGCCTCATTCGCCTCCGCCTCCCCCTCCGCCTCCGCCTCCGCCTCCTCCTCCTCCTCCTCCCCTCCTCCTCGTCCTCCTCATCCTCCTCATCCTCCTCGTCCTCTCTCCTCCTCCTCCTCCCCTCCTCCTCCTCCTCTTCCCCTCCTCCTCCTCCTCATCATCATCTCAGCATCATCATCCTCCTCCTCACTCCTCCTCCTCCTCCTCCTCCTCCTCCTCCTCATCCCCCTCTCCTCATCCTCCGCCTCCTCCTCCTCCCCCTCCTCCTCCTCCTCCTCCTCCCTCCAACTTCTCCTCCTCCTCCTCCTCCTCCGCCTCCGCCATTCCTTCCTCTCATAGGTAACTTCTCCTTGTCGCACACCGAGGCCAGATTTGTGGGCGGGCTGGGCGTTTCGCCTGAGACTTCCTCACCAGTTATGACTCTGAAGCTTAAAGCGACAACAGCTTCACGGATGGAGGGAGGGTCGTTGTCAAAATGTGGCTCTCGCCTTAGCGTCGCGCACATTCGTTGAGGGCGGATGGTTTTCAAAATGTGGCTCTCTCTTTAGCACCGCGCACATTCGTTGCAACAATTTGCAAGAGCTTCACGGATTGAGGGCGGGTGGGTTTCAAAATGTGGCTCTCGCCTTAGCGCCGCACACATTCGTTTTAAAAACGTGCAAGAGCCTCACGGGTTCCCATGATCAACGTACCAGAAATGGTGTTTTGGAAGAGTTGGGGATTATGCGGGTGCAACAGTTATGTTGATTCGAGGTGCTGAAGTCCCAAAAATGGCACTCTGGCACAATTCCGGATCGTCCAGGCGCAACAATCAGGTTGATACTTGGCGTCGAAATCCCGAGAACAATGTTATGGCATGCTTCAGGATCTTCAAACGGTTGTCTTCCAACGAGGCAATTCCCTCCATGGAAATGAACCGTTGTGGGGGCCTATGAAGAGGGAGCTTGGAGGGAGGGTTGATTCCAACATCGTTGATGACTCTTGGTTATACCCTGGTCCTCCTCCTCCACCTCCTCCACCTCCTCCCCCCCCGTCCCGCAAAACAAAAACAACCGAGCAAACAACAACAACAACAACAACAACAACAACAACAACAACAACAACAACAACAACAACAACAATTACTAGCACGTGGGGACACTCCGTTCTCACCAGTGCCAGGGTTTTCATAGGAGGCGGGCAATACCCCCACTTTGTGGGGGGGCCGGTTCAAGCTCTACCAAATTTCCAAACGACTCTTCGCCACCACCCACACCCAGCTTCCCGCCCTATGACGTTCGGACACTTCACTTCGTGGCATGCGGACGACCGTGGCTACTATTCAGGGCCCCGCGGCCGACGACGACGGCGTGCGCGCGCGAAGAAAAAACGAATGTGTCCCGCATGGTATTATTTGACAGGGATGATGGCCCTGGCAGGTGCGCAACCGTTGTCGCAGAAGTTCGAAAAAGTTGCTCGCAAAAGCCCGTTTGACAGAAATGTTTAAAGTGTTGGGTTTCCTACGAATCCGCAAGAGCGCGCGGGATGAGATTTTGACAATTTTTTGTTGAAAAACCATTGGTTTTTTGATGTTTTTATGTTAAAATCGCTGCGAACACTAAGGTTTTGGAAGGATTTCGTCTTGCGCGCGCGAATGTCCACTTTACCTCATTTTTTGCAAGGGATTCTTGAAGTTTGGATATGTTAGAACAAGAAATTTCATTTTATAGTGTTGTTTGCAAGGGAAAGCGGGCGTCAACAAAACAACCGGATCTGGATGACATCGTTTTACCTGAGGCGTCCTCACGAAAATGATGAAAACGTGGCTGCGGCCTAGGCGCGGCGGGGGGGGCGTGCACCAGGGGGCCCAACAATAATTATTCTTTAGAAGTAATAATATTCAACAACAACAACAATAACAATGATAACAACAAAAATGAACAACAACCACAACAACTACTACTACTACTACTACAACAGCAACAGCAAAAACAACAACAACAATAATAACAACAACACTCAGCAACAACAACAACAACAACACGAACAATAGCAGACACAACAACAATAACAATACCAACAACAATAATGGTAACAAAAACTATAGCATCAACAACAATAACAAAAACAACAACAACAACAACAACAACCGACAACAACAACAACAACAACAACAACAACAACCGACAACAACAACAACAACAACAACAACAGCCGACAACAACAACAACAACAATAAAGGGGCCCTGGGACACACAAATAAATACACACAAATGAAAGGATTCCAAACGTGTTTCTCATATGTTCTGGGTGTTCGTCCTCCCCCCCACTTCCCATGTTTTCCCATATTTTCTGGGGGGTCGACGATGACTTGTGTCCGTGTGTCCTTTTTCCCTCCTGAAGCAACAACAACCAAGACAAAAACGCTCGGAACGAGTGCTGCAAACGGGCGGGCCGCGCGGGGGGATCTTCGACGAAAAATAAAAAAAGACTCCAAAGATACTTCAATCATACTCCAAACATACTTCAAAACAAAATAGAAAATACTCCAAACATACTCCAAACATACTTCAAACAATAATAAAAAAATCAAAAAATGATCCACAATGGTCAAACAATTCTCCAAACATAGCCCCCAGACTATTTTTTGACTATTTCGGGATATTCCCCCCTGTAGAGGGACAGGCGCGACGAAAAATAAGAAATACTCAAAACAGACTCCAAAATGGCCAACGAATTCCCCCAAAAATACCCCCCAGGCTGTATCATGACTATTTGGGAGTACCCCCTCCCTTTTCGAGGGACTATTTGCTTACCATGCGTTTCTACTACTTGGGGGGCTATTGGGGGGGCCATGTTTTGGGGCTATGTCTTGCTTATCTTGTGACTATTTTGGACTATCCCCCCTGTGGATGGGGCAGGCCCGACTTCAGAACGCGTGCTGCCAGCGGGCGGGCCGCGCGGGGCGAGCCCGCGCGCGCCCGCGCGCGCGAAGGGGGCGGCCGCGGCCCGAGGCCGCCGCTGGCCGCAGCTGGCGCGCAGGTCGAACGGCAGGCCCAGGACAGGCCTCGGCCCGCCGAGGGGGGGGGGAGGGCGGAGGGAGGGGAGGAGGAGGAGGAGGGAGGAGGGGTGAGGGAGGAGGGAGGAAGAGGAGGGAGGGAGGAGGGGAGGGAGGGGAGGAGGGGGGAGAGAGGAGGGAGGGAGGAGGGAGGGAGGGAGGAGGGAGGGAGGGGAGGGGGAGGAGGAGGAAGGAGGAGGAAGGGAGGAGGGTGAAGGAGGGAGGAAGAGGGAGGAGGGGAAGGAGGAGGAGGGGGTGAGGAGGAGGAGGGAGGAAGAGGAGGAGGGAGGAGGGAGGAGGAAGGAGGAGGAAGGAAGGAGGAAGGGGAGGAGGAGGAGGAGGAAGGAGGAGGAAGGAGGAGGAGGAGGAGGAGGCGGAGGAGGAGGAGGAAGGAGAGAGGAAGGAGGCGGAGAAGGCGGAGGAGGAAGGAGGAGGCGGAGGAGGAGGCGGAGGCGGAAGAAGGAGAGAGGAGGAAGGAGAGAGGAGGAGGGGGAGGAGGAGGAGGAAAGTGTCGAGGCCCAGCAAGACGAAGCCAGGACGAGGACAACATCGGGTGAGGACGCATCGAGAACCTCTGAGATCCGGCGGCTCTGGAGGATGCCAGCCCGGCGCCGCGGCCTCCTCAGAGCGCCCGGAGAGCTATGAGAGCGTTCCAGGACGCTGTGGAACGGATTTATCCTCGTCCCAGCCCCGCCCGACTCAGCCTTACCCGCCGCTTCCTCTTACTCACGCCCTCCCCCACTCGCGGCGGACCGAGGCGGAGGCCCGACCGGAGGAGCGACCATCGCGGAAGGCGCCACCTGGCGGGGAGCCGCTGGGGATCCCTCGTCGGCGTCGTCGTCGTCGACGTCGTCGTCGTCTCTTTCGTCGTCTCTTTCGTCGTCTCTTTCGTCGTCGTCGTCGACGTCGACGTCGTCGTCAGCGTCGTCGTCTTCGTCGTCGTCTCGTTCGTCGTCGTCGTCGCCGTCGTCGTCGACGTCGTCATCGTCGTCATTGCCATCTCCTCTCGACGTCCATGTTGCCCTTATCCTACTGCCGAGTGCAATTCCCCTGTCACGTCCATGCTCCTGTCCCTACTCTCGGGGGCGTCTAAGAGGAGGGCGTCCAGGAGTGGGGTGTGCAAATCACAGGCACGTGCGCGGACCAGGGGGGGCCAGGGAACGCATTGGAGTAGGAAGAGGCGCCATGATGTCTGGGGAGATACCACGGCCCCCGCCACGATGCCCACGATGCCCACCCCCCTCCTTGGCCGCCCCCGACGCTCCTGCCCCTCACACTCGTCCTGACCCGCCTCCTCGGGCCCTTCCTCTGCGCGGGCGCCCCCGCAGTGTCCCGCCGCGGCCCGTCGCGCGGGGGGGAGGCCACTGCCCTGCTCCCCCGGCATGTGCCCGCTCCTCCCGGGCACCCCCCGCAGCCCTGGCAGCGACGTTGCCGCGAAGAAGCTGCACGGATTCCGCCGCCGGGCATGGATGCTGGGAGCAGAAAGCACGGCATCAACACAAACGTTCGGAGGTCCGCGCGGGTTTCGTGGATCGGCGCCGCCAGGGGGGCCCCGGCGCAGAGCCAAGAGAAACGCGCGCGGGCCTCCGAGAGTCTATGCTCATGCTGCTGTTTCCTCCTCGAGATTCGGTCCACGGCTCGCAGCACGTCCTCGGGCAGCGCTGGCGTGGCGTGGCCGTCGAACGAGTCGATGTTCTCCCTCAGCTGCCCCAGGCTCGTGGCCCCCACGATCGTCGAGCCCACGAACCAGCGGCTCTGGCACCACTGCAGCGCCAGACGCGCGGGGGGGATGCCAGCGGCGTGCGCCACGGCCACGTACTCCGCGGTGGCCTCCCTGGCCGCCGGCGTGAGGAACCGCCCCCCCTGCAGCTGGGGGAGGGCCAGGAAGCGAGCGGCGGCGGGGGCGTCCTGCAGGTACTTGCCCGACAGCACCCCGCCGCCCAGCGGGCTCCAGGGCAGCAGGGAGAGGTTGTGGTTCGCCGGCGCGCAGCACTCCGCCAGGGACTCCTCGAAGCCGCGGCTCAGCATGGAGAACTCGTTCTGGATGGAGGCTGGCGGGGGGCAGCCCTCCGCCCTGCAGGCGGCGGCCCACTCGCACACCCCGAACGCGCTCTCGTTGCAGAGGCCGAAGTGCCGGATCCTCCCCTCCCTCTGCAGGGCCGCCAGGGCACGGAGGGTCTCCGCGATGGGCACCGCGCCAGGCCGCTCCTTGGACGGGTCGTAGGCCGCGGCGCCCCAGAGGGGCGTGTACCTGTCCGGCCAGTGCAGCTGGAAGAGGTCCACGTATTACCAGCCTCGAACGTATCCCTATCCCTAAGATTGACACGCCAAAAGGCGATGACAATCTTAGGGATTCGCCCTCAGAAAATAAGGGAATCCCTAAGATTGGCATCGTGATGAGGAGGTGCCCAGCATAGGGATAGGGCTATGTTCCAGGCTGGTAAACGTAGTCGGTCTGCAGGCGCCGCAGGCTCGCCTCCAGGGCGCTCCTAATGGACGCCGCGTCCAGGCGCGCGCACGCCTGCCCGCGCGCCCGGGCCGTCGCGCTCCGGGGGCTGTGGCCGCAGACCTTCGTCGCCAGGACGAGCCTGGTGCGCCACCCGGGGTTCCTCTGCAACCACGAGCCGATGATCTCCTCGGTGCCACCCGCGCGCCAGCCGGGGGCCCCGGGGGGTGCGGGGTACATCTCGGCGGTGTCCACGAAGTTGACGCCCCGCTCCTTCAGCGCGTAGTCCATCTGCGCGCGGGCCTCCTCTCGGGGAGGCGTAAGACTCGGGCGAATGATGAGGGAGACTTGGGTTGGCCCGACTGGGCCATCAGGACGATGACGCGACCCGTTCTGAAAGTTGACGCGAGCTCCCGCTGCGCGTCGGCAAGCCTGGGTTCCGGCGCACTCGAGTCTTACGTTTCCCCGACTCCTCGCCGCTGGTCTGGATCCCCCACGTCATGGTCCCGAGGCAGCAGTCGGTGACCTCCAGGCCCGAGCCCCCCAGCCGGAGCCTCCGCAGGGGCCCCGCAGCGGCGCTGGAGACCGCGGCCGCCTGGCGCGCCCCCCGAGGGCGGCCTTCGGAGGGAGCCGGGCGGGTCCTGCGCAGGCTGCCCCGGCAGAGCACCCCAAGGGCAGCAAAGCGCGAGGGGGGGATCGACTGCAGCATCGATGTACCCCCAAGTTCGATCGTCCCCATCCAACCTACAACGAAGACATGGAGAATGTTCTCCAACCTGCGGCAAAGTCTGAGTAGTTCTCTCCGTAGCGTCGGCGAGAAAATCCATGCGGGGGGTAACTCAACTATGTGGTCGATCCCCGACTCGAACAGCAGCCGGGGGCGAGGCGGGGCGGGGGCGTGCGAGGCGGCAGCCACCCTCGGCCGCGGCGCCCGCGCGCGCGCGGGCAGCGGGGCTCGCCCGAGTTGAGGCCGGGAGTGCGCCGAGCACCCGCGTGTCCCGTGGGGCGCGCAGAGACGTGCTAATGCTAGGTGTCCTCCTTGGAGGCGCGCGTCCGACCCGAAAAATGTAGTATGCCCATCTTGTAGTACATCGTTTCCCGAGCGGCGTGGCCAGATAGCACCCGCCACGACGCGTATGATATTGGAGAAGATTTCTCGGTGCGCACGTCGCCCCTGGGTGAACGACGCGCATCTGGTATAAGTATGTTGGGGCGACGCCGGGATCCCAGGGGGGGCTCGTCGTCGGGCGCCGTTCGGCGACAGTCGTTGTCCTGGTCACCATTCGCTGTTCGTCGTTCGTCGCTCGTCGTCCTTCGTCGGTTGTCGGTCGTCGTTCGTCGCCCGTTTGTGGTCTTTGTCATTGGGCCCTTCCTGCCCTGCGCGCGGCGGCAGCGGCGAGTTGCGGGGCGGGGAGCGCGCCGGCGGGAAGCTGCACACGAGACGCGAGGGGGCGACCGCGTGCCATCTCCGCACAGGACCCTGCCGAGAGGGCGCCAAGCGAAGCGGGCACGGCCATGATGGCGGCGGTTGCGGTTAGAAGGCGTACGATAGAGGTCAGAAATCCACCCCCATAATGACCATCCCGACACGCGAAGACGTTTAGTAAACGCGCCCAAAGAAGGAATCGAACAGGGCAGGGCTGTTTAATAAACGCCCAGGGCCGTTCAGTAAACGCCCATCATCGGGTCAGGGTGGCTCTTCCTCCCTTGCTATGGGACGATCGCCTGTCCCCCCTTGAGACAGAGCCAGGACGAGGACCAATTCGGGTGATTGGAGGCCTGGAAATGGGCACCAACACCAACACGAGGGGGTTGCCTCCAAGGAGGGAAGATGATCCTAGATTTCGGTGATGGTGGTAATATGTCGGTCACGTTGGGACCCAGAATATTACCACCATCGCCGAGATCAGGATCCTCTTCCCTCGGTAGAGGCACACCGCCGATATTGGTGTTAGTGTCAACCTCTAGGCCTGTCAAGTGGGGATGGATCGAGAAACTCTGAAATCCGGCGGCTCCGGAGGATGTCTCGGGCGCCGCGGCCTTCTCAGAGCGTCCAGGAACGCCCTGGAGCGGATCCGTCCTCGTCGCAGCCCCGCCCGACACTCCCTTCCTCCTCCTCCTCCTCCTCCTCCTCTTCCTCCTCCTCCTCCTCCTCCTCCTCCTCCTCCTCTCCTCCTCCTCCCTCCACTCCCTCCCTCCCTCCCTCCCTCCCTCCCTCCCTCCCTCCTCTACCTCCCTCCCTTCCCTCCTCCCTCCTCCCTCCCTCCCTCCCTTCTCCCTCCCTCCGTCCCAACCTCCCTCCCTCCTCTCTCGTACTCGGCCGCCCGACCCTGCCCGTTTTCCCCTCCCCCTGGGGTCCAAAATGCGGAGGCGGAGGCGCGAGCTCTCCTCAACGCACCTTCCGGGCCCTCACAGCCTCCAAATTCATGTTCCGACGCCTCCAGGGTACCCAAACTGCCCTGCGAGAGGGCTTCAAAAGATCCCAAGGATATGCCCGCGAGCCCAACATCTGCAGCAGCAGCAACGACAATGACCACAACGACGACGACGACGACGACGACGACGACGACGACGACGACGACGACGACGACGACTGCTGCTGCTGCTGCTGCTGCTGCTGCTGCTGCTGCTGCTGCTGCTACTTCTACTACTACTACTACTACTACTACTACTACTACTACTACTACTACTACTACTACTATTAGTAGTAGTAGTACTACTACTACTACTTCCTCTACTACTACTACTACTACTACTACTACTACTACTGCTGCTACTACTACTACTACTACTACTATTACTACTACTACTACTACTACTGCTGTGCTGCTGCTGATTACTTACTTACTACTACTACATCCTACGACTACTGACTACTACGGACTACTTACGACGACTACGAACTTACTACGGACTAACTACGACTACTGTTACGACTACTATCGACACTACTACTACTACTAAGGACTAATCCTATCGCAGATACGACTACGATCGACTGACTAAGGACTACTACTACTACTACTACTACTACTACTACTACTACTTATACTACTTATTTAACGTACTTACTTACTTACTTACTTACTTACTTTACTACCGCATGATTTAATTATTTATTACTGACTAGACTTATTACATCCTTTACTTTATTACGATACTTAATACTAATACTACTACTAATAGCATACAGACTAACACCGAGCTACGACGACTCACTGTACGACGACTACGACTACTACGACTATCATCGACGACTACGAATACTCCGAACTCTACGGGGACTACTACGAACTACTTACGACTTACTCGACTACTTAACGAGCCTACTACTTACTACTATCGTACTACTATTACTACTAATGACTACTTATAGCACTGACTTCCTTACTTACTAGCTACTACTAAGACTTATACTACTCGACTACTATATACTACTATACTAATACTTAACTATCCTAACTACTACTACTACTACGACTACTAATGTGCGCATACATACGACTACACACTACGACTACTAATAACGACTACTACTTACTCAAATTCACTACTACTACTACGACTACACTACGACTACTAACTACTAATACTTACTACTACTATACTACTAACATTAACCTCACTACTAAACTAATACTACCACTACTACTACTACTACTACTACTACTACTACTACTACTACTACTACTACTACTACTACTACTACTACTACTACTACTACTATCATTCTAAAACTGTTCGCTCTTACTTGCTCGCGTTCAAAACGAGTTTCCCAAACCCTCGATACCCGCCCTTTTCGTCTTCGATCACACGCCCTTTTGGGAATTATTTCTCTTTGCGGGGGGCGGCGGGCTTCGACAGGCGGGCAAACCTGAACGGGCGAAAAATCCTTCGTGGGCGTACATGTGCCCGCCATTGGAATTGGCGTGGGCCCTGCGAAAAAGAAGGGGAGAACGGGGGAGAGTGGGAAAAAGGGAGGGGGAGGGACGAAGGAAGAGGGAAAACGCCAGGAGAGAAAGAGCGAAGAGGGGCGCGGCTGATTAGAGGCAGAGAGAGGGAGAGAGAGAGAGACAGAGAGAGAAAAAGAGAGAGAGAGAGGGAGAGAGAGAGAGAGAGGGAGAGAGAGAGAGAGAATGACAGATAAGACAGGTAGAGAGAGAGAGGAGGGGAAAGAGAGAGAGAGAGAGAGAAAACAAAAAAAACGAGGGCGGAGGCAGAATAGGGGAGGGGGAAACCCTAGGCGAAAGCGCCGTTCCTGTTGGAAGTCTCGGGCGGGAGACCACGACGGGCGGGCGATCCCCTGACGGGCGGGTCGGGCGGGTGGGACATTCAAGCGGGATGCATGGGTATGGCGACAGCGCGATCACTCATTAAATTGCAACGGCGTCATTGGCGCCGCGTGTTTCCCAAGCGTCGAAAGCGCGATTTCTCAATACATTGCATGGAAGTCACAGGCGAGGGCGCAAGTCCTGAATAGAATGTGAAGGGTTCTCTGGCGGGACCAGGGGCCGTAATTAAATTGCGAGGAAGTGTTGGGTCAATTGCGAGGAAATCTCAAGCGGGAGCGCCGTTCCTGAGCAATTTGTGGAGAAGTTGCGAGGAAGTCGCAAGCGGGCGCACTGATCCTGAGTAAATTGTGAGGACGTCTCAGGGGCGGGGTCCTGAAAAAATGTGGAGGAAATCTCAGGCGGGAACCGTTGTTGTTGTTGTTGTTGTTGAACATTACTAATTCTAAAGAATAATTATTGTTGGGACCCCTGGTGCACGGCCCCCCTGCGCCGCCTAGGCCGCAGCTACATTTTCATCATTTTCGTGAGGAAGCCTCAGGTAATTCGATGTGATCAAGATCCGGTTGTTTTGTTCCCCCCCGCTTTCCCTTGCAAAAACACTATAAAATGACATTTCTTGTTCTAATATAATCAAATTTCAAGAATCCTTTGCAAAAAATAAGGTAAAGTGGACATTCGCGCGCGCAAGACGAAATCCTTCCAAAACCTTAGTGTTCGAGCGATTTTAACATAAAAACATCAAAAAACCAATGGTTTTTCAACAAAAAAATTGTCAAAATCTCATCCCGCGCGCTCTTGCGGATTCGTAGGAAACCCAACACTTTTTAAACATTTCTGTCAAACGGGCTTTTGCGAGCAACTTTTTCGAACTTCTGCGACAACGGTTGCGCACCTGCCAGGGCCATCATCCCTGTCAAATAATACCATGCGGGACACATTCGTTTTTTCTTCGCGCGCGCACGCCGTCGTCGTCGGCCGCGGGGCCCTGAATAGTAGCCACGGTCGTCCGCATGCCACGAAGTGAAGTGTCCGAACGTCATAGGGCGGGAAGCTGGGTGTGGGTGGTGGCGAAGAGTCGTTTGGAAATTTGGTAGAGCTTGAACCGGCCCCCCCACAAAGTGGGGGTATTGCCAGCCTCCTATGAAAACCCTGGCACTGGTGAGAACGGAGTGTCCCCACGTGCTAGTAATTGTTGTTGTTGTTGTTGTTGTTGTTGTAATCCGGGGGGGCACGGGCCCAGTTTGAGCACGAAGACATTCCGTGGCAAAAAAACAGGGTGCGAGCGTCGAGATACACACTTTGTTTGAGAAAAACAAGATGCACAGGTGAGGCCAGATCAACAAGAATTATTCTTCAAAAGTGAGAGTTCAACAGCAACAACAACAATAGCAAAACAATAACTACAAGCACAACAACCACAATAACAACAACAACAACAACAACCACAACCACAACAAGAACGACCATATCAAAAACAACAGTGGGAACCATAATGTAAATATGTTCTATAGTTATACCAAGCAACAACAACAAAAACGAAAACCACAACATAAACAACAAGAGCCCCCCCCCCCCAAAAAAAACAAAAAAAACGAACAACAAAAACGCCAACAACAACAAGGGCAGCAACGGGAACAATAATAATACGTATATAGCAATATCAACAACGAGGCCGACAACGACGACCACAACAACATCATCATCAACAACAACAACGACAACTGCAGCAGCAACAACAACAACAACAACAACACAACTACATTGCTCATTGCGCGTGCGCCTTCTCGCGCTCGCTTCCGGCGGGCCCCCGCTGCCTCGAGACGGCCCGAGATGGCCCAGGAGAGCCCCACGAGGGGCCCAGGATCGCCGCGAGACGGCCCCCTGAGGCCCCCCGGGGCGCCCCAAGAGCGACCCAGGAGGGACCAGAGAGGCGGCGCGTTCTGTCTGCCAGCAGGAGGCGAACCTCGGACCAATGTCGGAGACCCTCCCTTTTGGATGGATGGTCCACGCAAGGCCCACGCAGAGAGGGCCTAAACCCTAAGAACTAAGAGCCTATAAAGATTGAAATCCTAAAATGCCTTCAAACGCCCTTACGCCGCCCCTCCCGCGCCCCTCAATTTGGGCACACCGCTCACGCACATACGCGCCCTCGGAGTGCCAGGAATGGTGTTTTGGGAGCTTTTGCAAATCGCAGGGCGCACCCGCCTCCGCCCCCGCTCCCGCCGGCCGAGGAGCCCGCGGCAGCCTTGAGCTTCGCGAAACTGACGCCTTTGTCTTTGGCGCTCGTGGCCTCCGAGCCGCGGCCGCGGTTCAGTCTGTCCCAGCGCGGCAGCTAGGCGTTGGCCTCGGGCACGGCGTTCTCCAAGCGTTTCTGCTGAACTACGGCATTGATGTGGGGATCGTCCCGAAACTTCCGGACCGCCACCGCCAAGGCCCCCGCCGTCTGGCTGATCCCGACCCCGACACGATGTTCCGAATCGCTCGACAAGTTGGCGCGGGATTTCGCCCAGTGGGAGCCCTGGGCCGCGGCCTCCCACAGCTTGTCCAATGGCACCTGGTCGAGGCGGAGAAAGGGGGGCGCGCGACGACGCATGAGGGCCCTGGCGCGGTGGCTGACGCAGGCCACTGGCGCGACGCACCGCGTGGAATAGCAGGGCGCTCACGCGCGATCGCCCCCCCGCCCCAGGGGAACGCACAAATGCTCGCGCACGCGACCCCTCCTTTCTTCCACGCAGCCGCGCCTTGTCGACGACGGACTCTCCCTCGTGGTCCAGAAGGGCAAAGGAGACGTGGTCCGACCTGTGCAGTTCCTCGCGGCGTTCCTCCCTCGCCGGGGGCTCGGAAGCGCGCTTCTGACCGGCGGCGCCGGGCGCAGCGCGGGCGGGAGAGCCGAGGAGTCCCAGCGCGTCCAAGGCGAGGGTCGAGGAGCGCGGCAGACGGCGCGCTGGCGAGCGAGGTCGGTCGGGGCGCCAAGACACTCGAGCCGTTCTCGGCGGACGTCGCGAAACGCGATCCCACGGCGGACGCACCGAGCTGGGCGACGCATCGCCAATGCGTCGGCAGCCTGCCGCGAGGATTTACCCATTTCGTCGCTTCGCGCGCGCGCCGCATCGCCGTTGCATCGGCCTTCGTGCGCTGCGCTACAGTCCCAAGGATGCTAAGGGGGGGCCCTCTCGTGGAAGCAACGAAATATCCCGCGCGCCTCGCGTCGAGTTAGGCCACGCATCGCCAAGGCATCGGCAAGTTGCTGTTCAGCTGGGGTGGGGGGGCTACCCTTTGTGTCTCTTCGCGCGCGCGCGGGTCGCATCGCCCATGCATCGGCCTTCGCGCATCGCCTCGCGGT